AAGGTTTCGTTCTCCTCAACTTCCAATGTAGGAGTGCCATAGACACCTTCCGATTACTAGTGGTTTTAAAATATTGAGAAATATTGAGAACCAGAACCTATACAGATTTTCAATTTTACTACCTAGACCTCTTGTTCGGCATACGGTTCCGAACAGATTCTGATTCCAATTCAAGATATCCTGATCTTTTAGTCACCCTTACTACTGACATTCTTATAATTTATTCCCTTCATTTCTAAATAATTGACACAATTGATTTTTTTTTTTTTTCACTTTTCATATATTAACTTTGTCCATCGTTTTTTTGTAATTTTTCTTACAAAAAATTAATTATGAAATATATTGTTAAATATGAATTGATGTAAAGTTTCAAAAATCAAGTTTTTAATATTTTTTACTAATATTTAATCATATATATCAAATGTCAAACTAGTGCCTTGGCATGTGTGTCAAGTTTGACTATGTCAATTATTCAAGAATGGGCGGCGGGGGGGGGGGGGGGAGTATAACTCTCCATAACCAAAGTGACTGTACATGACATTTTGAAACAGATGAACACTATATAATAAATAAAGGTTTTATAGTGGTCAATTGAAATATTATATACCAAATATAATTCATGATTGACTTATTTTTCTTCAAGTAATAAAGTATATTTCTTTATTTTTTATAATAATATCATCATCACTTTTATATTTATCCAATTTTTTAGTTTCATTTATGTAATTTTTATATTTATTTATAATTTTTCGAAAAATATTTTTTTTGGGTTAAAATTTTCAAAAATTATATTGATTATAGATATTTAAAAGACTATTATAATGTGCAAAATGAATTGATCATATTATATTATCATTAAAATACTATGGTAGTTGTAGGCGGCGGCGATTGAAGCATGCCTAAGCATGTTGTGAATATGCTTGACAATCATAGGAAGCAAGAATTGACATTACACGATTAGGGACAAGGAAAGTAGGGAGCCGCCAACAAGTTTTGAAGGAACTTATAAACCGTTCATGGATCATTATAAGACAACCACGATAAAGGGACAACTATAGGCAACAACGATTGACCCATGAAGATCAGATTATACCCCATTCATAATCCATTAGATTACTAACTTCATATGGTTCAGAACCACGAATTTATGGAGGATTGGGGATGATGGTACGAAGTGATTCATGGAGTCACATTCGCCCGTATTGACATCTACTCGATTCTTATTGTGAAAAGTATTTCCTGCGATCTCAAAGACATATAAACAAAGATTTAATTTATTTGCTCCAAACTAGATTAGGCTAAATTGGTTGAATATTAATGCAACACATAATTCTAAAATATTTGTATTGTGACCACTTGATTAAACAATAAGATTAAAAAGGAACCTAAACCGATCGTCCAAATTATCTTATTAAGCGTTACATTCAATTACATATTCCCTTTAAACATGCAATATGGTGATCAACAATAAATTGAATGAACATTAACATTGGAAGCAATTAACCATAATAACAACGATTAATATATGACAAACATAACAAAAACCGTTAGATTTATAATAGGAACAAAAGGAACATGATTCCTTACTTTGATTGTGCTTGCTTGCAACTATAAAATAATAAACACATTAGTAACTTCAAGGAAATTAAAATATATAAATAAACGAAAAATAAATCAAATTAAAGTAAAGTTGATTTGGGACCAAACCCCCAAACAGTTCTACCTTTCACGCCTTGGCTTAAGTACAAAACTTTGGGTGACGTACGGACTCCGGGGAGTGCTTAAGGGGTGAATTGTGAGAATAGGGAAGACAATTATTTAGGCTAGAGCATAAGAGAGAAAGAGGGAATTAATTGGTGCCCTGTGACTGTGAAATCAGCCTCATATATTTATAGAGGAAATGCGAGGGATACACTCCGGGAACCTAGAAATGAGGCGCTGCAAAAGAATAATGCACCGTGGCACGATAAATTGTCGTGACACGGTGAATGGGACCTAATTCTATCAGTTTAAAAGTCAAAGACGCGTGAAAAGATAAAACCGGGTAAAGAAAAACTGCGTGCCACGGTAGACATTGATGTGCCACGGTAGATGGTTTATCTGGAAACTTCTTTAAAATCCAATTTTATCTTATTTTCCTTATAAGCATGTGACAATCGGGCTCAATTATTAAATAACTAAAATGGATTAGTAATGGTTTGGGTTAAAATGAGAATTGGACAAGGCTCGACTAAATACTTGGACTGAAATATGGACTGATTTGTAAACTGTGTTTGCTTGAACACTACAAGAAAACAGCTTGATTCCGACGGAAAAAATCCGTCGGAATCATCGGAAATTTCGTCGAAAACTAGCCTTCTGACAGAATTCCGTCGGAATGAGTCTGTCGTAAAACACTTTGTCGGAAATTCGACCATTTCCGACGAAATTTCTGTCGGAAGGCTAGTTTCCGACGGAAATTCCGACGGAATCATTTCTGTCGGTGCTGTTTTTGACTTTAATCGGCAGTCCGTCGCAATACCTCTTCCGACGGAATCTTCCGTCGACATTTACCTCTTCCGACGGAATATTCCGTCGGAATTTTTAATAATAAAAAAAAAAACAGCCCCACCCACTACCCCCACCACCAGCCCACACTACCAGCCCTAGCCTGAACCCACCCACCCACATTACCTGAACCCACCACTAGCCCTAGCCACCTCAAACCCACCCAGACCAACCCACCCAGCTAGACCACCCCACCCAAACCCTACCAACCGTACCCACCCACCACCACAACAAACCCCATCTCCACCCACCAACCGTACCCACCTACCACCACCCCACCTAACACCGTACCCACCCAATACCCCCACCTTAACCTACCTCACTTAACCCACCACCACAAACCAGTACCTCCACCCTAACCGAACCAGCCAACCACCCAGCCTAACCGAACCACACCCACCACCTTAACCCCCCCACTTAACCCTAACCAACCTAAATCTAGATCTACCACCCAAACACCCCCAAACCACAACCACCACTATTGCTGGAAATTAACCAAAAAAAAAAAAAAAAAAACAAATAGCGAAACCACAACCACCACTATCGCCGAAAATTAACAAAAAAAAAAAAAATCACAACCACATCCACAACCACCACTACTACGAAAACCACAATTACAACCCAACAATTACCATAAAAAAGCAAAAAAAAAAAAAGAGAGAGAAAATTAAAATCAAGAAAACATACCTTAACACCGAAATTGGATGTTAATTTCTGATCGAATTTGGTTTAATACGGCCAAATTCGATCATGAAACCTCTAGATCTAGAGTTTTCATGATCGAATTTGATCATAAACACCATAATTATTTGCTTGTTGACGAAAACCCGAAACCCCATAGTAATTGTTCTCGAAAATTTCTGGAAAAAAAAAACCAAGAAGAAACAGACAACCGAAATAAAGAGGAAAGAGATGAAGGAGAAAGGAAAGAGAAGAAGGAGAAAGGAAAGAGAAAGTAAAGAAAAGAAGGAGAAAGGAGATGGAGAAAGGAAAGAGAAACGGAAAAGAAGAAGGAGAAGAGAGGAGAAAGAAGGAGCAGAGAGGCGCAGAGAAGAGGAGAGGAAAGAGAAATGAGAAATAAAAGGGGAGGGGGTATCCGGGTTTTTTAGGGTTTTTTTTTTTAATTTTATTTAATTACTTTCCGACGGAATATTCCGTCGGAATATTAATTTTCCGACGGAACATTCCGTCGGAATTTCCGACAGAACATTCCGTCGGAATTTCCGACAGATTTTAATTCCGTCGAAAATTTCCGACGGATTTTATTTCCGCCGGAAAATGAATATTCTGACGGAATATTCCGTCGGAAAGCCCATAAATTCCAACGGATTTTAATTCCGTAGAAAATCCGTTGGAAAATTCCGACGGAATATAAATCCGTCGGAATATACAGGATTTCCGACGGAATATCTTGTCCGTTGGAAGATGTCCGTCGGAAATAGGCCTATTTCTTGTAGTGGAAAAAGAATTTTAAGCACTTCCGAGATTAAATACTCGACCCGACCAATAATGGCGGTGAAAGGTTGTTCATCATCGGATTTGATTTTGAGAAGACATTTTTAGATGGCTACAGTAGTCACATTCAAACAACCAGTATAAAAAATCATCAAATCAACATAATAACTCTTTTCACAAAATAATTAATTTTGACAAAACTTAACCACAATCTTTCAAAATCTCAATATTCAAATTCTATGCATTTCATTTAAAAAATTAAAAAAAAAAAAAAAATTCCTACCAAAAATTATCCCACTAACTTTCGAAATTTTTTATTATTTTATATTTCGTATTTTGTATTGTTTTCTTTCGCAATTAAAATAAGGAAATTTTGTATAAAACCACCTTTTTAAAACTTGTTTTTGTAAAAAACCACCTTTTTTAAAAAAAATGTTGTGAAAGACCACCTTGTTTAAAAATTTTGTTGCAAAATAACACCACTTGCCGGAAAGTTGCCGTTGACCATTAAATTCCGGCGTTGACCCAGTCACGTGCTTCGCACTTGACTTTTAATTACCCAATTTTTTTTTTTATTTTTTTTTTACCCAATTTTTTTTTATTTTATTTTAAATACCCAATTTTTTTTTATTTATTTTTTTTAAATAATAAAATAAAAAAATAAATAAATAAAATAAAATAAAATAAAATAAATAAAATAAATAAAAATAAATAAATAAATACCCAATTTTTTTTTTTTTTATACCCAATTTTTTTTTTATTTTAAATGAAAAAAAAAATAAAATTGGGTAAGGGTCAACGCCGGAATTTAATGGTCAACGGCAACTTTCCGGCAAGTGGTGTTATTTTGCAACAAAATTTTTAAACAAGGTGGTCTTTCACAACATTTTTTTTAAAAGGTGGTTTTTTACAAAAACAAGTTTTAAAAAAGTGGTTTTATCCAAAATTTCCTTAAAATAAATATGAAATCAAGGCATGAAAGTATGAAACATGCTTTTACAGTCGTTTATTGAGAGCGTTACAAATCATGCCACTCTCCTAAAAACATGAAGTACTAAGTATAAGATTCGCATAATTGTCACCTTTCTTAATCTTCATTTTCGTGACTCTACCCTTCTCAATCTGTCCCACTCCAACAGTCCAACGCACTTTTCTCAACAACCTAAGGTTTGAATCTTTGTACGTTCGTTCCTTATTTTTATTCATAAAAGTATTGTCTTTATTCTTTAATATTCATTTCTCTTATTTGCCATCGATGTTCATCTTGGTTGAATTTGTTGCCACATATGTTTTCAATATCCCAATTCTCTCATTTACGCAAATAAGCAGCATGTGATGACTTTGATTGATAAATTATGGTTTTGAAACTTTGTTTGGATCAAATTTATGCTCAAGTCATGTAAATGCTCAAGTCATGTAAAAAAAATGATTAAAACTCTCAACCCTTAATTTTGTTTGAGACCTCAAAATAAATCTGAGGTAAGAGTAGTCTTTTCAAATGAGTCAAACCTTGCTTGATATACGTATATACGAGTAGTAACTGACATACTCATGATTTATTTATATATGTTTGTACTCATATCTAATAGCAACAATATACTGATTTATTTGTTTAATTTGTAAAACTCTGCAGCTCATAACAACATTTGTAGCAAAAAGTTAACCAAACATGGCAATTACAACATCTTTTTCATTATTAATATCTCCAAAAGTCACTAAACAAAATCTTATATTTTACACCCTCAAAAACCACCACCACAGCCCTTCAAATGGGCACATTAAATTCAACCCAAATCTCAAAACCTCAGTCTCTAAACTCTTTAACACCATCCAAAAACCCCAATTCTTACGATTTCGATACGTAAGGAATCAAATAAACTCCATGTTCACAGGCATTGTTGAAGAGCTTGGCCATGTTAAGCATATGGGATATGATGAAGATGGTGGATTTCACCTTAAAGTTGAAGGAAACATTGTCCTACAAGATGTTAATCTTGGTGACAGTATTGCCGTTAATGGTACATGTCTAACTGTGACTGAATTTGATACTAATGCTTCGGAATTTACACTTGGGTTGGCGCCTGAGACGCTTAGGAAGACGACGTTGATGGAGCTCGAACCCGGGTCGATTGTTAATTTGGAAAGAGCCCTTCTGCCTTCTACAAGGATGGGTGGTCATTTTGTTCAGGTCAGTTTTTTTTTTCAGTAAAAGCTTTTATTTTTATCCTTGCTGTATACTTCCTCCATTTTATCAATATCGCATCATATTGACTTTTATACTATTTCACAAATTCTCTTTGACTATTTATTGATTTTATATGTGAAGAAAAATAGTCATATGTGATTTCTGTCAAATTTGTCTCGATTTTTGCTTTTAAGATATCAAGTATTTATAATATATACTTATTGAGGATCGGATTAAACATATTACTTCTTAATAATCAAAGTTATATGTTGAGAAGGGCAAAACTCTCTATGATTCAGTATTTGACGAACGGAGAAATTAGGAGGCAGGATTTTTTTGGGATTTGAGACTACTGCGTTTCCCAATAACCTCAATGAAATACAGTATAAAAGTTTAAATTCAATAGGACTTAAGCTAAGTTCTCCCAATTTTGAATTGAAACATTTTGTTTTTAAAACTCGTTTCATGATACATAGCTTATACGAAGTAAGGATTATGAATATATAATACGAACTGGTACTCGCCTAGACAATATATGATTTGGTAAACATAATTGTGTGATTTGCTTTCAAATTTCAATTATTAATAAATATATTGTATTAACTCCAAATTTTCAATTTAATTTAGGGGCATGTTGATGGGACAGGAGAAATTGTATCACTTGATCAAGAAGGTGATTCTTTATGGGTGAAGATAAAAACAAGCCCAGAGATACTAAGGTACATCGTACCAAAAGGGTTCATTGCAATCGATGGCACAAGTTTAACAGTGGTGGATGTGTTAGACAAAGAAGCATGCTTTAACATCATGTTAGTTGCCTACACTCAACAAAATGTAGTGATACCACTCAAAAAAGTTGGTCAAAAAGTTAATTTAGAAGTTGATATATTAGGAAAATATGTGGAAAGACTCCTAAGCAGTGGATTTCTTGATCCTACCAAATCATAATATGATTACGATTATGATTATTAGCTTATTTATCATTGGCAAGATCTTGTATGTAACCGGTGTATTACATACAATTATACTTACTAAATGCTATGTTTTGTATTTTGTTGTTTTGTGATCAACTTGAATAATTATAAGTTCATAGTTATATTAATGAGAAGAATTGTACGGATATACTTGTTTATATCTCAGTGGTTATTAACAAAATAGCGACCTTATTTTCAACAATTGATAATCAAAATTTATGGTCTTAATGGAGGTACATATATATTTTTTTCCTGTAAAAAAACGTAAAATTGCAAATAATAATACAATATTTGGGCGGTTCTTTTTTAATAATACAACCTTTCGATTATTTATTAATATTATAATCTTTGGGGGTTTTAAATTTAAACAGGCTAAAAATCTTGTAACCTGTTAACAAGTTACCATGACACGTGCTATCATGTAATTAGTTTAAAATTAAAAAACAGAGATTTTTAATGTTTAATTAACTTTTAATTTTTTTAATAAAATAATTTTAATTAAAAAAAAAATCCACCCACCACCCTGCCACCACCACCTTTCCCCCTCCCCTGTTTTCTTCACTCCCCTGCCATCACCGCCTAACCAACAAGAGCAGCACTGACCACCCCCGCATCAACCTTCGCTGCTCCTAGATGCACCACCACAACAGCCAGCACCACGCATCCTGCTCCTTTCGCTGCTCCCACACGCACCACCAGGCAGTAATTAACGCCACCACTGCAGCCCCTTTTTGGGGTTTCGGGTTTAACCCAGAAAACCCGTTTCCTAGGATTTCGGGTTTTTTGGGTTAAATGGATTTTTGGGCTGTGGGAGAGGGGAGCTGCGTGCGTGAAGGCGAGGGGGACAGGGAATGGTGGTGAAGGTGGTGGGGTTTTTTTTTATTTATTTATTTATAATATTAATAATAAAAGTATTTTATTATTTTGTATATTTTAAAAATTAAAAATTTTAAATAAATTTTAAAAATCAAATTAAATTGACAAAACCAATAAAACAACGACACGCGGCATGGTAAACTGTAAAAACAGGTTACCAACCGATTTTTGCCTGTTTAAATTCAACACCCCCCAAAGGTTGTAATATTAATGAATAATCGAAAGATTGTATTATTAAAAAAGAACTAGCCAAAGATTGTATTATTATTTGCAATTTTTCCTATAAAAAAAGGTAGATATTTTTTTAATTCAACTATTCTTGTTGAATTGAGCTTATTTATGTTGAATAGGAATTATTTTTACTAAACTGAAATTATTTTTATTAAATGTTATTGTTTTAAGGTGAAGTTAACAGGACTTTGGTCTATAAACATGATTTAAGTTAGTGTTAAGATGCAACTATTGAGAAACCAAGCTAGATTATGACATAGATACGAACTTTTACACGCTAGTCATTCACATTGATACTACATTGTTGCATCAAAAAACATTGATACTACATTGTATGTCATTAAACTAGTAATAATGTACCACACATATATGGAAATTGACATGAAGTATGTATGTCCTACTGTCCTACATAGCCAACAAACACATTCACTCAATCACTCATAGTTTTATAGTTCTCTCTTATTCACAATTAAATTTTAACTAACTTAGTCATCGAAGGAGTTTACCTCGAACTATTATATTTTTAACCTCACCCTTGAGACTAAATCTTTATTTTCCTTGTAGGTCACCAATCCTACATCGATCGATTTTTAACACTTCTACCTTTACAGAGTTTACACTAGTCTCCACAGTACATATTAGTAACTATCAAACAATGTCTCTAGCACTAGTCTTCATATCAGCATATCGCCAACTTGCAACTCTACGGCCAACACTCTATTACGCTGGAGTATGGACAACAATGTTGATTTTAACGGTGGTGGTGGCATCATTCTCCCCGGAACTAGCCTTCATGGCGGCAATAACGCGTTCCTCCCCCTATACGCAGTCGTGTGACAGCGACGGATATGTGAGGATTCCACTAGACATGCCAGGTGAAAGAGTATGCTTGCCTGCCCACATGTTGAAGAGGTCTACGTTAGATGTTTTCATTCCCACTTTGTTCTCTGCTCTCATTGTGGCTTCTTCTGCTTTGCTTCTTAGATCTTTGGGATTTTCCTAAAATTGTAAGGAACTTTATTTATTTTTTTGGGTTGGTAAAAGGTTGTATTGTGTGAGTTGGGTGTTAGAAGAGTCATGTCCTATGCAAGGAAGGACAACAATTACATTGTTAATATCAATATATACTTCCTTTAATTCTTTTATGTTGACACGTTTTGACTTTGTGCACTATTTACATAACTTATTTTAACTTCTTTTTGTGAATTCTGAATTAGTGTTGAGAAAAAACTTAGTTATACGGGGTTTTATTAGATTCGTCTCAACGTCTACTTTTCAAATGACATTTTTTTCTAATTTTTGCTAATATATATAATTAAAGATATTACATTTAGAAGTATGCATTAGCAAACATTTTATTACTCCCTCCGAATTTAATTGCTTATTCCACTTTACATTTTCGACTGTATTTAATTACTTACTCTATTTTCTTATTTGAAAAGTTTTTACAGTTTTTAATTTATTTCTCTAAACTAGTAGATTCTCTCTCCTCCAATTAATATAATAATAATAAAAAAAAATAATAACCTCCTCCTTCTCTCTACAAACAACTCCTTCATCCTCTGTTTTCCCCTGTTGCCGGCGGCCAGAGCAACGCTGCTCATCTAAGGTCACCGGCGAGCATCCTTAAAGTTCGCAAGTGTGAAGGTCTGGTCTCCCAAAGCTATCTCGAACGCTTCAGTTACAGAGTAAAGCTTGGTTTAGGGTTTTAATTTGGGGGCGATTTTCTATTTCTTCTAATTGAGGATTATCATCAGATCCAAGGCCTAGAGATCGCAACCAGAAGGTTTTTGGTTCTTCCCAGCAATGATGAGTTTTAAACGTGGCACTTGTCAGCCGCTTTCTCGCCGGTGTTCTTCGTTGCAAAGGAGGTTCGTGGGTTTCATCACCTTAGTGGGTCCTCTTTCAAAGCTTTCCCAACCGCCGCCGTTGATAACTTCACCGGTAAAGGTAAAGGTTAGGTTAGGGTTTCTTATTTGAATTAGGATTTGGTTGTCACAGTTTTGGGGCTTTAATTTCAAAGCTAACTCTGTCGCCGTCGTGTGTGGTTTCGGATCAACCGAAGTATATGGTAAAGGTAAAGACTTAGTTAGGGTTTCCTGTTTGGAATTTTAGTATTTCTTCTTTACAAGCTTTCTTCATGTTAATCTCCTTTGTGTCTAGTTTGTTTATTTTCAGTTTGGTGGAGTTAGGTTCGTGTTTTAGTACGGGTTGTGGTTTTCTTGCTCTTTTGGTTCTTTGTTGAAAGTTTGATAAGTGAGATGTTCTTCGATGCTCTTGTCGTTGTACTCTTTGGGGCTGGTTGCATTTTATCTTGTGGTGTAACATGGTTTTAGGGGAGCTAGGGGGATGTGTTAGCTCGGGTACGGGTAATTGTGGGGACTGCCCTTTATTGTGGTATTTAGGTTCTTAGGATTGGTCTTGGCTTGTTGTTTGTATGTTGTTAGCTCTCTTGATCTCTACTGTCAAGAGAGTATTCGAAGGTTATCCCTTGGTAACCTTTATTTCAGCTTAGCAATGAATTTTCAATTCATTGCTTTGAAAAAACTTTATCTTAGCCTTGCTCTCCAATATGAGGGCTCCCTTAAGTTTTTTTTTTTTTGCAGGATTTTATTATGAAAATGGTCTTTTTCCTTAGAGAAGAGGCCAAAGGTACCCACAGTTAAGGGTACCGAGTCATTTTTCAAGTGACTCTAAGTGTGTTGTCAAGCCAGGGTCGTCTGTTGTTCCTACCCTTGTTGCCTAATGTAAATGACTATTAACGTCCTTTTGAGCTCGTATTATTGTTAACAACCAACAGTTGTGTGTTCTATGCTCTTCCGTCCATTCTCCATAGTTTGTAATTTTTATTTTAAGTCTGTTAAGCTGTTGTCAAAAAAAAAAAAAAAAAACAATTAATATAATAATAATAAAAAAAAGTACCCCTTACCCCCCAAACAATAGAATTTGTTATGTACACCACGGGGTCATTTGCTCATTTTATCAACAAATGACGAGGTGGTTTCGGTAGGTGGGCTGGGTAGGGGAGGTGGTTAATATGGTGGGTCTGCCGGAGAGGGTGGCCATGTTTTTTTTTTTTTAAAAAAAAAAAAATCAATATTTTTTTCTATCATTTTTTTTTTATTTTTTTAAATTTTACCATTCACGTGGTGACAAGAATGTGGTTATGTGTTATGCCATCAATCTCCCTTAATTGAGCTCTCTTACTCTTTGTTTTTATTTTTTGGCAAAAGAATTTGCTACAAGCGTTCCTTCGCCACTATGGTTCGTGAACGGGCACACCATATCTTGTTGTGCCAGTTTAATAGCTAGCTCTTCACGAGTAGTGATTGTAGGTATGAACTTGTACGTCTAGTTTCTTTTAAAATCCAATAGAGACACGATAGTTGTACGTCTGGTTTCTTCTTCATTTCAGTGTGACACGATAGTTGTACGCTGAAATCAAATAAAGCAGAAACACAATAGCTGGATCCCCCCTCTTTTTTACTTTCTTTTTCTGAGCTCACCGGTAGAGCAAGTTGCCAATATTCCTCTTGCTTTCCCGTCTTAGATATTTTATCTTCATCTTGTGGACATGGATAAGTGATATTTTTTTTATAATTAGATCTCATGGCTCGTCTTGGTATTCCTTAGACATACTCTTCTTTTGTGATCTTTCTTTGTTAAAATCATACACAAGCATTAAATAAGTTCATACTTTATTTACAACCATTCCAAAATTGATGATGAAGGTAGAAGGCAAGAGAATAAATTCATACAGAGTATAAGTTTACAGGTAGAAGGTATTCTTAATGATGTTTGGCCATATTATGAAAAGCGTAATTATTTAGGTCCAACTTTATCTAACCTGATATTAATCAAATATAACCCAAAAATAACCCGAACCCAACCCGTCATACACCTGCTCAAAACCTGACTCGACATAAGTTTAAGCCAAAATTAACCCGACCCAAAATTTATAAAATTGAACCCAACCTATGCCTGTAAGATTTATCTTGCTTGTTACATTTAATGTAACTAAGAGGGCCTTTACAAGTAGAATTCAAAGTTAATACAAATTTTCTGATTTTAAGATAAAGAAAAGTATTAGCCTTCTGAAGAACTATTTGCTTCCGCATTTCAAGAAAACATTTCCGTTGTCAAGCAATACTTATACTTCCTTCATTCGTTCTGTTGTAATCTGCATCACGATACAAAATCACTTTTGAAACAAGAAATACAAGGATGAGTACATAAACTAAATGAAACCAATATCCAATAGCTACTCTAGTTACCACATTGCAATAAAAATTTATCTGCACTTTCTAGATCACAAGTTTCAACAGAGATTTATTATCAAACCTTTTACTGATCTTGGACTTGATCTTTGCCCTTTGTCCTTTGCACTTTCTACTGGAGTAAATATAAGTTCTGATTGGATAGATAAATAGTTTACATTACTCAATTTACACGACTTGTCAACAAGTAATTGAAACAACTAATTTCCAAAAGGATATGCTTGGACAGCTTGGAAAGAGTGGATATGGAATATTACTCAACTCCCAAAAGGTTTATTTGAAAGTTAAGATAAAACCTAATTTCCAAAAGGATTATAAAAAAGAGTTTTTAGGTTCATTGCCATTTTCCAAAAATACACATAAAGAAGCTATAAAAAGAATCAAGATCATAGCATTTACTTATTGTTAGGTATTTTTTTTCCTGGGACTGTTTGTTTGCCCCTTTATTTTGGCTTATTGTTTGATTTTCGAATATGTGGTTTCATTCTTTGAGTATTTTTTGGATAAAGAAAATACCAACCGTCAACCGAGACTTTGTTGTAGTAGTAGTATTAGACAATTATAATCTATAATAGTCTTTTAGAAATGCTGTATCTTTGCTCCCTCTTCTTTGGCTTCATCCTGTCTTTTTCTTTATCATCTCATCTTCCAACTTCTTACTCTTGTTCCAGATTCCTCTTTTAATCTGGTTATAAAATATAGTAACCGTAGTCCCATCTGCTACTTCCTCCTTCTCCTACCCTTCCATTTTCCATATATTTATGTGAAATTTAAAGTCTATTCCTAACTTATTATATTTATGTCTTATTATTAAACAAAATACATTTTGAAAACCGTCTTTTAAAAGTTCTTGATTCTTTCTCATTTTTGTCTTGTATCTCTCTTTCTTTCTCATCTTCAACCTCACCTTCTTTCTTCCTCCCCCTTGCTATGTCTTTCTTCACTTATACATTACAAATGTACAATTTATAGCAAATTAAATAAACAATCTGTCCCTCATCCTCTTCCTTCCCTCCTTTGGATACTTATTCTTCACTCCAACTCACACTTGTTTTATGGATTTTAAAATTAATAATAAGTCTTATATTACTGGCTCCCTCACCCTTAATTAGTCTTCATTGCCAATCACTTTTTTTTTTTTTTTTTTTTTTTTTTTATGGTTTCAAATTTACTTTTGAGTTTTACATGCCGATCTTTAAACGTTCTGACAATTTTTATAGCATTTCAGTCTGCAACAAATATAATTGGAACCGGCTATCCGCACATCATCTAAGAACATTGGCTTCAGCCTAAGAGTATACATGTGGTCCCCCAAGTTGGCCAAAATTTATAGGTAAAAGAATACAAGTATTACTGACAGAAAATTTTGATATTACATACCAATATATGGCTGAGCTCTGGATATGCACATCTGAAACAGGGAGAATGGCAGAAATGAAATCACTATGTGTATGAAGAAAATTATGATACTAATTGACTTCAGGCACAAAAAAAAAAAAAAAAAAAAAAAAAAAAAAAAAAAAAAAAAAAAAAAGAAGAAAGAAAAAAAGACACAAGTGATGATCTAAAGTTGAAGCGAGATCATTGATTCTAAGTGGTAAACTAAGAGCCAAAGATATTCAATCTGCTCCGCTGCACTTACAAATCCAAACAGGAAAAAAAAAAGGAAGAGAGATGAGAATTGAGCAAAACCAACATACTCAAATTGCATCAGGGAAATTCAGGAACTAATTATAACAGTTAAAATTAATTCAAAATATCTGTTTAAATTAGCTTTAATTTTCTGACATAAATACTGAGTCCAGATTTAGATTTGCTCCTCTGCATAGAACCCATCGGGCTACCAGCATAAGCAACAAGATCACCCACCTTTCTACTAGTTAATCCAGGACCTACTGCTACCGCCTCTCCTCCAATTGAATCCATTCCTAGTAACTTCCCAAACAGAAAGGAAACAAAAACGGGCTTAAAGGAAGGCAGTCAGTTGTAAAAACATATTGCAGACAAATGTCATTTCCAAATGGCTTAGTTAAGTTAATGCTAATCAACATATATTTTGCTGAACTTAGTAAAAGGATTGGCAGAATCATATAAAGAATGATTAACTTACCAAGCATATATTTTTCTGAACTTAGTAAAGTTAAAGACAATGATTCCAAACTCATGTGCAATACATATCACAAAATCCAGTTGGTAAATAATGATGAACTTACTAGGAATGTAGACACTTTAAATTCTGCTAATTAAGGATGGTTATTACTTACATATTTTTTACCATCAAAAGGAAAAAGAGGAAAAATATTCAGGGGAAGAGGAAAGAACACAGACCTTGACCATGGTTTCCCTGAACCAGGAAATGAGCCCATACTTGTTGAGATAACCAGCCATGGCAATAAGTGCAGCAAACTATGTAAGGGTATCCCAAGCAACTGACTCAAATAAGCATTCTTTCTAGGTGACAACACCAGTAATGAGCTGCAAACATAATCCAAGAATTGCAGCAGTGACTGCATCAATTTGCAAAGCTCCTCCGAAAACCCACAATCCCACTTGATGAAAGTATCACAAGGAAAGCATATCAATGTAACATGACATGGTATCTTTATATTAAAACTGAAATAAAAGTACTACAGAATGAAGATGTACAGAGCGGAAAATCAACTTCCACAACGAATCGATGTTAACATCATTGAAGTTCCTTAATGACCTCAAAATTGCACAGATATTTAGCCCATAATTAATATAGAATTTATCAATTAATCTTCATAGGTCATGCAGGTATATATAATTTCAATCAGCTAACATACAGGCATTAGTTGAACATTCGGCTTCAACAAACATTTGCAAGCTAAACTGACAGCAAATGCAGCTACAGGAATTTTGAATAACATGGCAAGCAAATGCAAATCAAGAGCAAATCCAAGGACCGGTAAAAGGAATCACACTGGAAAGGTAAACAAAGAGCTAACAACCACTTTAAAGGTCAACTCTTCTAATTATTAAACAAATACATACACTGCTCCATGTTGATCATATCCGCCAATTTAACTTCTCAGAAGAATATCAATAAGCTGAAAAAGCTTCCCCCCTCTAATAATTTATGATTATTATCTTGGTGGTTCAGACACAACTGTTTCATAAGCTATATTTTTTTAGGCCTAATTGCAGGTGTAGCAAGCAAGATCTCTGAAATCAATTAGCAAACACCAACAAATTTACTAACCAAAGATTGGATCTATCAGAAAAATAACTTCAAAATACTTAATTCTAAGATATAGTATAAAAAATCACAAGGTAATCACTCAATCTTAGTCACTATTCATAAGATCAAGACCTAAAGGAGCAAAAAAACCAAGAATAATGTTTAAATAAGAAGACAGAAAGAAAGAGGGACCTTGAATTGGATTATTCAAAGAGCTTCCCAGTAGACGAAAAGACAATAAGGCCAATTTCAGCATCACAAAGAGTATGAAGTTTTTTTTTTTTTTTTTTTTTGGTAAAAAGAGTGCATTTATAATCCAACCAGTATAAATCGCAAATTTAAAAGCAAAATGGGTAGTTTCATAATTATTTGTTTGAGACTTCTCAAAGATCTTACATTTAGCCCACTGAATCCCTGTTCTTATGCGGCTGTTTACCCAAAACACCAACCCACAACACCGCCCTAGACCAAACTAACAAGGACAAATTACAAGAGCCCAAAGGTAACCCTAACAGGTTACTGTTGTTAACGTGATTATTAAAATGAAGTTGGCTGACTTGATGGGGCATGCATAATATGCAGAATTAAATCAAAACAGAAGCAACGGGGCAGCATCAGCTTCACACAATAGGTCTTGTTCTCTTCTACATACTTTTACTCAAGCCAACTCTGATTCGTACCAAACTGTAAAACTAAATTCAATTGATCATAACTAATCTTTAGCAATTTAAAGTAAATTTGGTTGTTCCAATCGACTTCATCGATCTAAACTAATTTCTGAAAATTCTAATTGATCTCAACACGAATTATACTCAACCCAACTTTGATTTGTACCATGTTACCCAATAAAATGCCAAATCCTTCTTCTCCATGTTCCCTCCTTTAAATGGCTTTGAAAATTATAGGTTGTACTTACTCCCCTCCCTTTCACTCTCTCTCTCTCTAAAAATGCTCCCTATCTCTTCCTCGACTACACTTTAAAAACGGTGACCTTATATGCTCGCCCTCTTCTTCCTCCATCATCCTCAAACTCGTCTTTTCAGGCTTTGCGAATGTTAAAAGTATCCTAAAGGTGTTAAAATTGGTCTCTACCACTATCCCATCTTTCATTCATCCCCCTCTTGTTACTTCCCCCCTTCTTTCTTTCTTCAACCCACTCTTCTTTGTAAGGCTTTCAAAAATATATTTTTCCTTGTACTACTTGCCAATCCCTGCCCTTTTCTAAAGAACATCATAGAGAGCGACAGCACCAAATTCTGCAAAGATGATTTAATGAGTTCCTTCCAACGCATCCAATCGGCCATCCAAATACATAGAATAATCAAGGAGTGTAAGAACCTAAGAGATCATTCATACTTCAATGCCTCAGAAGTCATTCCACAACCTTGCACCTCGTCAGTTACCCGTAGTTCCCATGCTTCTGGTTGTTAGGATATAAGTTAGCAGACGAAGATGCAAATGAATAGAAAATATAATTATCAGGGCCATGTAGCTCATAAACCTTTCATTCATTGTCAAGGTCCCACTAATAGACCTTGACACCGCCATGTTGGAGCTTCAAAGCGGCCCTGATAGCTACCATTGAAACCCTCCTTAGTATATACATCTGTTAGGAAAAGAACAAAGTAACTTGTTTATAGCTAGGAAAAGGTAGAACATAAAACCATAGAAAATAGCTCAGTAATTTCACAGATCAGAAAGATCATAAATTTGCTTTACTGATTACCTACCTTACTTCTTGCTTGAAATTGAAAAGAGGTGGCAGTGGGCGACCGTTTGGAAGGCAAGTATTGGGATCAAGAAGCTCATCAAAAAAAGGATGAACACATGCCTCCAACTGCAAGCTAATAGTAAGGCAAAGAGATAAGTTCAGATTCTAAAACTTGCAAAAAGTTACGAACAGGTAATACCGTACAATATAATTTAACAAGATTATTTATAGGAAATATAAATCTAGATGTTCTCATGTTTCCTTGAATGCAACCCATTCCATCATTTCCTGTAACTTTTTTTCCTTGGAAGGGGAGGGAGGCTTTTACATGAAGGCAAGGTCAAATAAGAAAATAAGAATGAGATTGTGCCGAAAGAGATTGTGCAAAAATGTGGGGAGAAAAGGGTGATGGGTGAGGATGGTTACTTACTGCAGTGCAACAAAGATTGGGTGAATACTGAAGTGTCCTGAAGCAAGATTGATGGCTTCAGGAGGCATTCATTTAGGAATAACCTGCATCAGCGAACATCATTATCAGTATACAAATTCTTTCAAGCATCAAATTGTTCATTGATTGAAAATTACATAGATCTATAGATACTTGTATACGACATTGCAGATTTACACAAAAATGTTTAGGGAATCAGATGCATGTAAGGACTTCCAACAACACACCATCTTGTTCCCAAGAAAAAAAAAAAAAAAAAATATTCTCTCAATTCTCTCAAAAAAAAAAAAAATCACACAGAGACGGCCATATGAGATGCCATATAAGTTTCACAAGGCCACAAGGGTTTAGGTACTAATGCTTAACACTTCAATGGCTCAATTCTCTCAAAGTACAGGCCACTTGACCACCTCACCTCAATCTTATTAAATGAACAATGTAATCAACATTGCAGCAGTACTCATCCCCTTTCATAAATTCATCATATGAAGAAATTGGCCCAAGTGATACACATTATAGTATGATGCTATGATACACTTAAAAAAAATCGAGTGAAAAAGTAGAGGGGGGGAAACAGCCATAATACCTTGTGCCAAGGGTGAGCTTTAATCTGTGGAAACCTAAAATCAGTATAGTTTGGATTCATCATCGAATTTCCTCTCTAGTAGGAGTACCAAGAACCTGAAAATATATGGACATAATCAATTAATTTTGTAATCATTGCATAACTTGAGTTTGTGGCAATTTCAACATGAATGCTAGATTCTGGCCTTGATAATCACCGCAAGTTGATCCAAATGCATTCTCACCGGGGAACAATGGCTGTTATGTGACAAGCAAAAGGAAAATAAGGATCAACAAAAAGAGGGTCATGGAAAGCAAGCAACAGCAAGTATACACTATAAACAACACGAAGCTTAATCCATCGATATCAAACAACAAAAATTCACCTAAAAAGTTGCAGAAAAATCCCCATATTAATTTAAATTCAAAATCATATATTCATACCTGAATTCATAAGTATCATCAAAGTGCTTCTCAGAGTACTGGATCTGACACATTTTCTTCGTTAATCTAATTAAAATTCCAGAAAATAAGAAAAATCCAACCCAGAAATTAAAGATTATTAACCAAGAAATAATCAAAAGATAGCCAAAGAGAAAATACATGTAGACATCGAATTGTTGATTTCAAACCAAGCAAAAATGAAAAGAAACCCAAATTTAGGAGAGAGAAACATGTTGTGATCAGATCAATTGCCATTGATGAGAGATAAAGGAAGGTTGATGAAAGATTGAGTGGTGGTGGAAATGGGAAATGGAGTCATACAAATGTACTCAACGAGAAAAAGTTAAATAATTGCAGGAATTTTCTGGGTGAAGTTCGGGTTTCGAGATCGAATGTTGCAAAAGGAGGGAACAAATTTCGGTTTGGATTGGAATCTAATTATAAAAACCGAATTAATTTGGTTAGGTTCGGTTTGGATTGGACCAAATCTTAATTTGGTTTAGATTCGGTTAGAGAAATCCAAAACCGAATTAATTCGAATTGGATTCGGTTTTGGCCATAATACAAACCGCAAACCGAACTTTCACCCCTACTTGAGTATCCATGTAACACTCGACATTCCAAGCTTCCAACATAAGTATGGAGCCTATGGACCGGTGAAAGTGCATATCTTTACCTCACACTATAATGGTCTTTTGAAGTACTCTACATATTTTCTCCCTCCTCTCTACATGTTATCCTCTATCTTGCCCTTTCACCCTAACATTAGTTCACCCCCTCTAGTTGAAGTCATTCCCTCACCAGTTAAAATCAATTATACCTTGCAATAAATCTCATTAATGTGGAAAATTGGCGAAAACTTCAATAATCCCACTAATAAAGATGGACTACAATCTTCTACATAATCCTAAATCAATCATATTGATCTCAAACTTAACTAACAAACCCAGTTGTAGAGCATCAATATGAATTCAATAATATTTTTTCTAAGGATAAAAGAAATTTAAAAGGAGAAATAATCTCAAAGACAAGAAAGTTAACCTTATCCCAAGAAACATCAGGATCAAACAACTTGCCAATTTAAAAGGAGAAGAGTGACCATTCTGATGCTGATGGCAATTTCGATGATTTCTTGTCCATCATCCTTGTAACTCAAATCTTAAAACCCATAAAATAAAACAAAAAAAAGGGTTTATGCGCAATAATCTGGGCAATTAAGGAAATAGAGCTTTCAAATAGGGTTTTCAGGAAGTGGGTAAAATTTGTATGGTGAATACATGTAAGCTGAAAACTATGGATTCATAAGTATCATCATATATTCATACCTGATATCAAAAGTATCATCAAAGTGTTTCTCATAGTACTGGATCTGACCCATTTTTTTCGCTAATCAATTGCTTCAATGGAGAACTCAGAGTAGGAAATTCCACCCTCGAAATCCGAAATTCCAGAATTGGACTGCGGAAACCCTAACGTGCATAAGAAAATTCACTTGCTAATGACAAGAAAACCAATAACAAAAAAGTGAAAAACAATTCCAACAATCAAATTGAAAAAAAAAAAACGAATTTCAGAAAATAAGAAAAAATCAACCGAGAAATTATAGATTATAAACTCGTCTTTCCTACTTGCATGTTAATATCATGTATCAATATGAACACACTTAGGAATGAATAAAAAAACAAATGAATGAATTTTCCTCATAAATAAACCGAAATAATCACATAATATATTAGAGGCTACATACCCCACGGAATATAGAAATTAAGAAAACAGTAACAAATCTTATAAAGAGACACAAATAAAAATTATGCTAGTACTTGCTGCTCTACAAGACCAGACAAATTCCTAGTATATCAATTTGAATAGCCCTAAACTTAAACTTAAACAAAGATGAATAGCCTAAGACAGAGGATAGATTGAGAAGCCTCCAAAAACTTTCCAATGGTGGAGGTGTAAATGAAAATAAACCCCTCATTCACAAATTCTCAATGCTATTAGATTTCAGTGAGTTTAAACAGAAATTCCCATCCTTTTACTATACAATCAGACATAATGAACATAGAAATTAAATCCAAAATAAAGAATTTCTGCTTTCATTTTGTTTATTAAAAGGATCAATCACAAATTCTATATACTATAAAATTTCAGCTAGGAAAAATTAGAAAGAGGAGAAAGCAAAACCTTATGAATCAAAGCACAACGTTTAGTCTCCTCCTTGAATCGACGGAGTTGAGCTTGCTCACAAGTCACAACCCTTCATTTATTCTTCTCGGTTTCTTCCTCTTTCGCCCTGAAATTCGACAAATTAAAGCAGAGCAAAGATAAGGTGTAAGATAATTATAGGAGATTTGTATAGGCTTCTGACCTTCATATATAGCCAGCAGGGGGATTCTGGAAAAAGAAGCATAAAGAGAAACTGCAAGACAACAGGGACTCTTGATACTCCAAGCAGCCAACGCCAAGTTCCAGGAACCTTCTAAACGAACACACATTTAAAAAAATGTAGAAATTATTCCTATATATATTAGACTAAAATTCAACAATGCAACTTCCTTTTTTTTTTTTTTTAACAATAGGCTTAGATCCACATTTCATCAAACAATCTGGTGGAGAATTTCGAGGTGGTAAAATCAACCATGGCAGCAATCAATCAAAATAGGCCAAATAATTTCCAAATTCCAACCGAACCAAATCACAAAATAAAAATAATACTTTGTATAAAAGAAAACAAAAGTTGATCTTTCTGCCAAGCCAAATGGAAAAAATTACCCAAAACCTCAAAAAATTCTCCAAACCCAGATTAAATTTGACTGCTTTGAATGGTGTACACTCATCACATCTTTTAACGGCTGGTGATTTTGTCGTTAGAAGATCAAGGAGCATGCAGTCAGCAAAGTTACAGTCACAGCTCACAGAGACAGATAAAGCAGCTAAGGAGCAAAGGTTCTGGCATCCGATGGTTTGAGGACCATTTTAATAGTGTCTGGACAAACCACCATAACCAATGGTCATCTAAGGAGAGGGGAAAAACAATCCTCGAGAAACTCACATGACCTCTCCCTGCCTCATTCTTGGTATTAACCAACAATAAACCCTAGATTATGAAACTAATTTGCTGATTAAGAAAGAAATTTCGCCTCAAAAGCTCCTTTAATAGAGGAGAGAAAGCTCACAAAGTCACAAGCCATTTCAAAAAAGAATTCAGAGTATGCTTCAATGGACGAGAGATTGAGAGATAGGGCACAAAGAATATTCATTCACCTTAACCTCTCATACATCATAATTGCACTATATTAAACATGGATAATCAAGAAATCCAACAGGGAACCAGATTCAACTATCTGAGTATAGTGACCACTTTTGGATCAAAGTGCACAAATAAATTCCATTTTTTTCCCCTCTAAACGGAAATCCAACAATACCCATCAACACAATTTCAGTCTAATTGCATAAATAAACAAAACCCAAATCCCAAAATTCAAATGCACCATAATAAACACCTAAAAAAATAAACATGAGAAATGGACTAAACATAAATAAACAAAGAAAGATACCAGCCAAAGAATTAAAGGATACCGAAAACTGAAGGCCTTGGAGAATTGTGAAACTCACTTAATGCTGCTCTTTCGCTGGACGTTAACCTTTCCAGTTTCCACTTCAGTTCCCATTCAAGTTTTCCATCTTCCCCTGTTACTCGCTTCACAGACAAAGCAAAAATCATTGGAAAAATAGTCAAAATGGGATTTTTACATGAGAACCAATTCCAGCAAAATAAGCAATAACCCACATCATAAATAAGAACAAAGAACTAGATCATGTGACCTAAGAGAAAGAAAGATGGATACCATTAAGGCCAACAGAAGTGTGAGTAATGTTGATAAGTTTTTCAGGCTTTGATATTCTTACGGACAACTTCTTCGACCCAATGAGAACAGGTGCTGTATTAATATAATACTTTTAAGTAATGTATTATGCTAATATAGTCAATGTTAATCCTATTTTACCTCTCACTCACAAATATCACCACAATCAAACTTATATTAACATTAACCAAGCTTATATTAACATTATAGTAAATATAGTATGATTAATGTGATAATATTGCATAAAAGTGACACATAATATGTATTAAAGTGACTACATTAACAATGACACATAATACATTTTACTTAAAGGTGAATATAATTTAATGTGGTAATTATACATTAATGCAATATCATCAATAAACACAACCACATACTTATCCAAGAAAGAGTGAAACACACGGTACGGTTCATTACATCCATAAATATCGCTAAGGAATTCCTTTGTACTTTTGCTGTGTGCAAAATATTTGAAGGAAATGATGAGTTGTGGATCAAAGATATTGAGGTTGTACTAACAATTGCCCCCTGAACATCTATAATCAAGCTAAAATCTTAAAAGAGGAGGGTAATACCTGGTTTAAAGAAGGTGATTTTGTTTGTGTTGGGGCTAAGTATGATAGAGGGATGAAATTTCTTTGTTTTGGTTTTCCCAAGGAATAAGGATGATAGTGTAATGCTATGGAATCTTGCTATTGCACTGGAGTTAAATCTTGCAGCTAGTGCTCTAAAGGTCCGTGATTATGAACAAACTACTTAGTCATCATGATTGATAGTAGCAATGTCAAAGCTCTTTACAGAAGGGCCTTAGCTGAAATCAAGCTTCACCAACTAGAAGAGGCTTATGAGGACCTTAGCAAGGCAGCCAAGGTTGAGCCTAATAATTAATACATTCTTCTTGAGCTAGAGAAAGTGAAGGGCCTAAGTTGCAAGGGAAGTAAGCTTAATGGTAAGAAGGGTATTGAGGATTCCGTCCTGACTTACTCCAACTACAATGAAAAGGGGAAAACCATTTAGTCATCAATTAGCCTAATGTGTAACTGATTGTCTTGTAGCCACGATCATAGTGGTTTTACGAGCTTGCCCGTCACGGATTATGCTAGAGATATGGTAGTAAAGAGCATTATCCCTACTCACAATGCTTATGCTTATTTGGAAAATGAGGAAGAAGGATAAAAAAATTCTTTAAACAATTATCAAGACTTGTTTAGGATAACGGACAACGAAAAACCCATGTTTTCTCTGATGGAATGAAAAGAAACCAGTCCCTAAAGATTTTCGAATTGTCTTCCTCGAAACACATGCATGCAAGGGAAGACTTTTAGTTTCTTCAACCGTTCTGCTGATCCATGGATGATAGAACGAATGAAAGAAAGGACTACACCGGTAAGCATTCTAATATTTACAAGGCGATGGGCTCTAAAGGTCCAAAGTGTAAGACCCCCAAATCTCCCTCTACGAGAATACTAGTATAATATGTATATTTATACAGTAGAGGTAGACTTAGGCGTATTACCGCCGCGTGATTACGCAAGGCTATTTTCGAAATTATTAACTCACTAAACTTGCAACGGAAAACCTTTAACTTTATTAATACTTCAAAATAACCAAACCAGAGTATTCAAAATTAAATGCAAAAACGTTTAAACCCTAATCTAGGTGAAATCATTCCCGGGATTCCCAATGTGCACGTTGACTCCACCTAAAAATTCACAACTTCTTACCATTACGGTAAACAAGGCAAACCAAAACAAAATAGAAAGCACAGATTAGCAAAATATGCTAAATACACTTAAGTGCAAGATATGTAAATTCAATTGTTCGTAAACATGCTTTTTAAACTCAATCATGAAAACTCAATAAAAATTCCAATAATTCAATCCTCATAATTTCAAACTAATTCTCAATTCTCATCAAATACTCAATTCAAACCAATTATATTCCATAAAATCAATTTCTTTTAATATAATTCCTCTCCTAAGTGTGCACACCCCTCAAGTTAGTATCTTTATGTATAAAGGCTATCCTTGAGGAAAGACTAGGTTATACAAAGTCCATAGTCTTATCAACCAAATCCGCATAGTGGGATTACTTAATCATGCTTGTAAAGCTTTAATGAATAATTCAATAATACCTCATGAAATCAACCTTTAAGAAATTCTAATTCAATCTTTTAATTATTTAAAATCCAATTCCAATATATAATGAAAATTCCAACTCAAAATCCTTTATTTAATTCAACATACTTTTTGAAATTAATTCTTTTAAACATATTGCAAAAACATTCAAACATGATAATTAGTCCTTCAAACATATTAAATTCATAAAACATAGTATTCAATTTAATTCAAATATCAAATTCAATTCACATAAAACATGTTGATCATCGAAAAAACACTTTAATAAAGTATCTAGCCACCTAAACGTACCTTGCCTCCTTGTTTAGCAAACTCAACACAAAAGAACTCAAGGACTTTCACCAAGAACACCCTACAATTAAATATGAAATTAATTAAATAAGATCATCACATAATCACAACAATACTAAATAAAAATCCCAACGCTATGTACATGAACTAATTAAATTCTTTTCAAAATTTTAAAATTAATTTTCTGTTTTTACTTGATTAAATCATTAAGAATAATTATTTATAAAATTAGAATATTAATATTAATAATTAAAATAATTTAAGAATAAAAGAAAAGAAAGAAAGCCGAAAGAAAGAAGAAGAAGTGGAGGAGGTATGGCGGTGGCAACAGCTCTAGCTGGCGTGGCTGCTGGCCGGGGCTGGTGTCGGCGCAGGTGCAAGGTGGTGCTGACGGTGGTCGGAGCAAGAAACCGAGAGGATGAGAGGAGAAAAAACCGTGAGAAAATAAGAGAAAAAGAAATAGAATTTGTGAATTCTTGTGTGAATTTTTGCATTAGAATGAGGGGGTATTTATAGGTTTAGAAGTGTAAGAATTATGGAAAATAAATTTAGGGAAGAGCAACGAAATTTATGGAATAAGAAATTACTTGGAGAAGAGTATAAGAAATTATGGAAATTAATTATTTGATGAGCAAGTAAATAATTCGATTTATGGAAAGTATGAAAATTTAAGTTGATGAAATAAAGTAAGGTAAGAATGCAATACTTGGGGAATAAGTTTAAGAGATTTGAGATCAAAATATCCATGATCAAATATAGTTTAGATTTAAGTCGGAAATATAGGAAAATATGAAGATTTAAGAAATATTTGTCTACTAAAATCTAAACAATAATCTATTTAATTATTTCTAATTGGCCGAAAATCTTCGAACAATACTGCCTAATAATTTACAGACCATTTAGCTAATTAATCAGATATTCTTTAGCTTTAGAAAAATCCAAAAATCGCTTAATTAATTTTTAGTTTTTATTAAAATAGGAAAATCTTAATTATTCTAACCTAATTAGCTTAACAAAAATCAGATATTCTAATGCTAGAAAATTCGAAAATCATTAGGCTAACTAGCTTATTAATTTTGGACCATATAAATATAATAGGAAATGTATTTTTTCTAAAATAATTAAAATATCCAAAAAACATTTATATTTCGGTTTTTATTAAAATAATTAAATGGATGGTTAATCTTATCCAAAATACATAATAAGAACTTAGTTTAAAATAATTTTGGCACCAAAATTCAAATATCATTTTGGCTCCAAAATTCAAATAAACAATTAAATTACTAAAATACCCTTTCTAGAAAATAATTAATAATTAATTAGTTAGAAAATATTCCTAAAAAATACGGGGTATTCCACAAAGGCCTTATCCATGCCTAATAAGATGGTGAGTCCGGATGAGAGGAGATGTGACAAAAAGAACCGAAAGAAAAAGGTGAAGATCTCTCCTAATTCTGAAGTGATCAACCATATTATTGAGTTTGGTAATTCCAACACTACTGCTGTTGAGAAGAAAGATGAGCCTATAAAAGCATTGCCAATAATGAGCAAAAAACCTTTTGCTCATTTTCTCTCTACCAACTTTCTCTCTCCTCCTACCTAATTTTGCTCATGAGCATTTTGATGAGTATTTTTGGTGAGCGTATTTTATCCCACCACTGATAAAAAAAATTTCCTCACCATTCTCTCTACTGCTTTTTTCAATACCCTGCCAATATTTCTCTCTCTTACACATCACCATATTATTATTAGTTATATTATGTTTAATGAAGTTATAGTTCTACAAATTACGGTTTTTGGTTTTTTAAAATCTAATTATATTAATAACATTATTAATTATTAATTAGTAATATTACATAAAAAAATGAATAGCCGACAAAATTATTATCGTACGACTGCATTAAATTTTTAGCGTACGATTACATTTAATTATTCTACAAACCAAAATAATTAATGACATGAAATTATTATCGTACGACTATATTAGAATATAATAAATAGTTATCGTACGACACTTGAATTGTTTACTCATCAGTAGAACCATATTTTTGCTCGATGTGTTCCACTAAATCCGCTTTTAAATTAACATAAGTGTCTCTATCACGTACAAACATTCTTCTCTGAACATACATGTCAAAATCAACGTTAGGCGGTCAACCAACATTAAATTCAAAAGGCTCGTAGTTGTTCACTATGAAAGGATTGTTGTCCTTCGAATAAGTGTATTATTCCGATAGAGGGTTTGGAATCAATTACGGAGTTAATTATTCAGTGAAGTCAAGTGATCAAAAAGTCGGGCTAGAGGCCATCTATGATCAGTAAGATTATATTAATCTCACAGCTTTACCTAACTGAACCCTTCGGGTCACACCAAAGCGTGCAACCAAACTAAGGTGACGAATTAAGTCGAAGGCATTAATACGTCAATACGTACTTCGACGTTGGATTCTGAGCTTAGAGCATCGTAGCCGAACGTTGGACGTCAAGTTAAATTCGAGGAATTAACGAGACGTACAAATAAGTCAAACGAAAAATAAGAAAGTCAAAGTGCATAGTCTTAGCCTCGGAAAATGGCTTATCCACGCGAGGGCTAGGCTAGCACTAGCAACCGCAAGCATGCGCTGGCTGCAAGCCTAGCTTGGTGCGTGCATGCACTAGCTAGGCCTGCTGATCGAGTGTGCGCAGCTTGCAAGCACTAGCCGCAAGCCCAACAAGCCGCAAGCATGGGCGAGCTAGGCGTGCTTGCCGAGTGCGGGCATCGCTGGCACAAGCTAGCAAGGCTAGCAGCTAGCGCAGCGTGCTAGGCCTCGCTAGCAAGTGCCGCGCTCAGCAAGCATGGCTTTTAGGCATGCTAGC